CTCTCGATTTGCCCGAATTGCTGATTCGACTTGGACATCTTGTACGAATCTTTCTCATGCGACAACGCCCTACTAAACCCGCCAAAAAGGGCACACCTGAGGAGTCGACTATAAACAAGTCAGCAGTTGTAATAGGGCCGGAGTAAGATAAGAAGGTAGGGAGTGAGTGGATGCTTCAAGACTGAAGAAGGAGTGATAACACAACCGTTTGTGAGAAAGTTGGTCAAAGGATCGACTTTAATTGTCTCTTTGGCGAGTTGTAAATGTGTACTGAGAATGGCAAAACTCACTAAAGATGCCGGCGAAACGACAGTGAATGTATAAATTCCATTGCCCAACGATGGGAACTATCATGGCCAGTGCAGAAGAGGACTTAGGACAAGGTTCGTCCAACTAGGCTGCCCTGACAACACGACCATATTGCGAAAACCAAATCATAAATCTTCTCTTAGTTCGGATTTACTATATGTACAGTTTTAATATGCCAGCATTAAATTCTCACATTTTAAAGGTTATTTTTCAAAATTTCCAAGCTCTAATCAATTGAACCAGGATAATACTTAAATATGTGACTTTCTCTTAACGCATCAGAATTCCACAAAAACTACAAAAAAATTCCGATCTGACCAACCACATCCTGCCAATAGTCAGTAACTCAAGAGCCTATAAGTATGCTATTCAAGCATGTACCGACTCCTCGTTCAAGTCCATTGATGCCCTGATAGGCGAAGATGCTTCCATTCGTACTCCCTTATCTCATCTCCTATGGAAAGAAGGTGACAGCAACAACAACCTGGTTTATTCAAGACCTGTTAAGGCTGGTACAGTCTGCGGTTTAGAAGAACTAAATAGCATGCCAGTTGGCAAAGTTGGCAGAAGCCTAATAGCTGGATCAGCACCAGCAACTCGGGCAAATAGAAGCATTAGCAGCAGCAGCAATTCTACCAAATCTTCCGCCTTGTCAACCCCCCTGATTAACCATTCGACAGTGTCAATATCCTCGAAAGGGATAGGTGGAACAACGGCCCCGATGATGAATGGAACAAATGTTAATTCACCAGTAAGATCGCCCGCTTCAAAGGCATCCGGAGTGAGGCGGATATATTCTCAGATCACTGATCCAAAGTCGATGCTAAAGCTACCACCCAAATACTGGAGCATTCATTCCAGGATGAGCAAGAAGCAAGAGGCTAGTGCTAGTCGGAAAACGACGAATGGGGATAATGACTGTCAGGAGCAAGCAAGCTTAGCTTCGAAAAAGTAAGTAGCCATTTTCATAAAAGGCATAAAGACGAAGTTATATATCTCTGAATCTAACGTATGCTGACAAAGATGATGTAGCCTTTACTATGACAGAGGTCCCCTTTGTTGTATACAAGTTGTTTGATCTTGTTTTCCCAACTTGGTCCTATTGTCAGAGAAAGCATTTTGTCCATGGCCGGACCGAAGACTTGGTACATTTTAGGATGTGAATAGGTCTCACTAAATCCGCTCGAAAGGGCATATCTGAACTAGGTTTTAATATTTGTTGTATCTAAGTAGAGTTTTGAGTAAGAAATTGATAGAGTAAAGGGCTGACACGAGGATATAGGAGGAGTGAATACAGCTGGACAGAATGAGAGATACCACAACTTTTCAGCAGACAATTAGTCAAAGAATAGACTTTTTCGTAAATGAGTAAATTGTCAAGACTATTCAGTTACGAGAAAAAAAGCGATGTCGTCGATTGATATGGCAAATATAAGTTTGCTTAGTCGACAATCCCAGCGTAGAATGTGATATTGAAAATTCTTGACCTTCCTTGAAATTGAGTCGGATGAATGGGTGTAAAAGTAGACTTCGGAAGGCCCTTCTTTGCCATCCGATGATACCAATTAACGAAACTTTACGCCTATCATTTTAAAAAGAAGAGCATATTGCCTAAGGCGCAATTTTATATTCTATTATTCAGTATTACTTATACTATTGCTAGTGATTTGTGCAAAGGGATACTTGCATTATTTTGATTTTTCTTGATTTCGAAAATCTTTTCTCTGTGCTCTTTCCTAATAATCAACTATATAAAGCATCCCAATTATCTGACCTTTAGTTTTCATTTTGGTCTTTACTCAAGTTATTGTTATTTTTATTACTTTTGCCATAAGCCTCAGCTTTCTGTTTTTTATTTGACACTTTCCTTTAAGGATATATCTAATTTTTTTATGTGTCCATGTTGTACTGTTTTTTTTTTGCACTTGTTTTATTTTTTCGTCCTAAGCCCTGGCATTTTCCAAATACGAAATTTTATACAAATAGGGGGGGTTAAAATAATGTACATATATTATTGATTTTTCTAGGTGGTAAC